CTCCTTGTGGGCTGCAGCGCTGGGTTCTGGCCCTTTCCTTGAGCATCCAAATGGAAACCCGGGTTTGAACCCCAAATGTCACAGGGGAGGCCACCTGCAAGGGACTTGGGTGTTGCCAAATTGAAGCAGGAGCTGTTCATGGCCCCGGCAGCTGGGTCTCCATGGGTTGGGGTACCTGTGACACCCCCTGACCTCCGTCTCCATCCCGCAGGCATGGACCTCTCGGCCAACCAAGACGAGGAGGGCGACCAGGAGACCTACCAGCTGGAGATCAACAAGGACACCAAGAAGTGCGCCTTCAGGACCTACACGGGCAAGTACTGGACCCTCACCTCCAACGGGGGCATCCAGTCCACCGCCTCCACAAAGTGAGTCCCCGCCTCGCGCCCCCGGCCGCTTCGGGGACCCGCTCGCGTTTCCAAGGGGCTCGCCCCAAAATCGCTCCCCAGAGAATTCCCTGGAGAGCTGGGGCTGAGCCTGGGCTCGCCCCCGCGGTGCTCGGGAAGTCCCTTGGGCCACGTCATCCTTCCCGGCAGGCTGGGGCGGCCAAAACGCTTACCCTGCACTTAGAGCCGGCTGCTGGAGCTGGGCGGAAAGGCCCCAAAGTGCCTCTGGCTCCGTGTCCCCGGGGACAGCCCAGGGGCCGAGGGCTTAACCCGGGCGGATGCCGCAGCTTCCCTCGTCCTGCCAAAACCCAGCTGGCTCAGGACATCCCGCTTCTGAACTCAATGGGGGTGGTGTTTTTGGGGGTCCCTGGTCTGAAATGTCCCACTGACCGTGCTGTGCCCCTGCAGGAACGCGAGCTGCTACTTTGACATCGAGTGGTGCGACAAGCGCATCACCCTGAAAGCCGCCAACGGCAAGTACGTGACGGCCAAGAAGAACGGGCAGCTGGCGGCCTCCATGGAGACAGCGGGTAAGGGACCCCGTGGGTAAGGGACCCCGCGGGGACCCCAGCCCCAGGTTGGGATGGCAGCGAGGATGGGGTCAGGGGTGTCCCCAAACGCGGCACCTCGCCCTGGTGATGCTGTGGGGTGGGTGAGAAATATCGGGGCACGTGCGCCCTCCTCCCGGGGACCATGCTTTGTGTCCCCACGGGCTCATGCTGCTCTCCCCTCCGGCGCAGGCGAGACGGAGCACTTCGTGATGAAGCTGATCAACAGGCCCATCATCGTCCTGCGCGGCGAGCACGGCTTCATCGGCTGCCGGAAGGTGACCGGCACCCTGGACTCCAACCGCTCCTCCTACGACGTCTTCCAGCTGGAGTTCAACGACGGAGCCTACAACATCAAAGGTGAGGCCGTGGCTTCGTGCCGGGGGGCTCCGTGCACGTCCCCATCCCCGTGGGCATCGCCGCTTGGGGGGGTCCCCGCGGCGGTGGCGGCTCACGGGGTGCCCTCTGCCCGCAGATGCCACCGGGAAGTACTGGATGGTGGGGAGCGAGTCGTCCTGTCACCAGCAGCAGCGACACGCCCGTGGACTTCTTTTTTGAGTTCTGCGACTATAACAAAGTGGCCATCAAAATCAATGGCAAATACCTGAAGGGCGACCATGCCGGGGTCCTCAAGGCATCCGCCGACGCCATTGACGCCTCCACCCTCTGGGAATATTAATGCACTTTAGCGTACCTCCCATTGCCAACTTTCCTTTCCCCTCTCTTTATTTTTTTTTCTATTTTTTCTATTTTTTTTTTTGGTTCGGTTTCGTTTCGTTTTGAATTTCTCCTCTCTGTAAAAGGATTTCCAGACTGGCTTTGCCCTCCCCTCCCGCCGTAGAGCCCAGCGCCTTGTGTCGGAGGTGGGTCCCCCCCCTTCACCCCCCGTGAGAACTGGATCAGTCACCCGGCAGCGCGCGGTGCTGCCGCCTGCACCTGGAGGGTTGCCGAGGGCCCTTCCTCGCCCCGGCCTCGCTCAGCTCGGAGGCTGCCGTACCCCGTCCCGGCCCCGAGCACCACCTCAGTAGTTTACTTTCTTCTCTGCAACTGGAAAAAGAAAAAAAAAAAAAAGGGAATGAGGTCACCTCCGTGCTCTCCTCTTCATAGCAGTGCCGGTGCCACTTCGCCCTGCGCTGCCAGGGTCCCCCCTGGTCCCCGTCCCTCCGCTGTCCCGTCCCCAGCCGAGGCACAAGAGGTGACCTTACGTGCTGCAGTAGGGCCAGCAAGCTGATCCCCGCCCCGGCTGTGCAGGTGGCACACCTGGAATCAATTTTTGGGGTGATCCCATCTGGAAAGCCCCGGCAATTCATCTCGCTGCCACCCTGCGCTCCTCTTCCTCCTCTCCTCCTTGGGGTCATCCCTGCCCCTCACGGTGCCCCTGGTGCCAAAGGAGCTGCGGTGCCCAGGAGGGGACAGAGGTCGGGGTGGGGGCACGTGGAGCAAACCCGCACCGGGGGGGCTCCAGCACCGGCCCCCCCGTCCCCATCACTGCGGGGCCGCGTGCCCCCCCAATGGGCACAGCCTCCCCTGGGCACCGGCTGGAGGCAAGAGCTGCAGATTTCGGTTTACAGAATAGAAAAGTTCCTTAGCAAACTTTGCACAGTGATATTTGCTCAGTACTTTTTCTTCTTTTCTCTCTTTTTTTTTTTTTTCTTATCTTTCTTTTTTTTTTTTTCCTCATACAAATACTGGAACAGCGAAGCGCATCCCTGGATGCCCACCGCTGATTTGGGAAGCGCCCCCGAGGAGGGGCAGCTCCTGCTCCACCAGCCCGCGGGGGCACCTCGGCTTCGCCAGCATGCCATCTCGTCCTTACTGGAAACAGAAAAGAAAAGAAAAAAAAAAAATAATGACCAAAACAGTATTTTTGTTAGTATCTATTTATATATGCTCTCCATGGCACTGTGTTACCAGCTGTTGTCTGTACTAGGTCTGCATTAGCGTGTAACGATGTGAGCGTTCGCGACGGGTGGTGCTGAAGCGTCCTCGAGGGTGTTGAAAGGCACTTTGAAAATCCTTTGGGGGGCCGCTCCCCACACCACGGAGCCTTTTCCCCGCGCCCCTCGCCCCCCACGCCAAGGGTGCTCACGGCGTCGCCGCTGTGCCAAGACGAGGCCGGCGCCTGCCGCAAGCTCGGGGCTCGCCAGCCTTAAAGCCTGTCCCAGGGGCAGCCTCCGCGGGAGCTTGGTGCTAAAACTCTCAGCTCGGAGAGCGCCCGGCCCGTCCCAGCGAGGGGACAGCTCGCAGACGGGTCCCTCGCCACCATGGGGTCCCCACCAGGGCCCTATTTCAGCTCTCCCAGCCAGCGCCCTGGAAAATGCGCCCGCCCGGGGCCGAGGGCGCCTCTCGAAGGAACCAAGTGTCTTGATGAAGCCCCGAGCGACCCCGGGACTTGGCACTCACTCTTTGCTGGCCTTCACACCCACCGCGTCCCCTCCTCCCCGGCCCCAGTGGCAGTTCAATCCGTGTCCCCCCCTCCCCTGCTCCGGCTTCTCCCCTGTGACACTAGGTCGACATCTCCTCCCCCCCCTCCCCGTCTCCTCTCCTCGGGTGTCGTGACTCTCCGAAAACATCTCACTCTGAAATTTAAGTTTGGGGTTCGTTCGTTCGTTTTTTTTTTTTTTTAATTTTTTTATTATTTTTTTTTTGTAAGTGCCATTTGTATAACTTAAAAGAAAACTAGCTTCAAATGGAGAAAAATGAATAAAAAAAAAACCTGCATTCGGACACGAGCGGTGGTGCGTGGTCTGTGGGGGGGCTGTGGTGATGGCCTGGGTTTGGGGACAGCGACCGAGGAGCATCGGGGCTGAGCCTGGAGCACTCGAAGCACAGAGGCTTGAGAGAATTTGGGGGCTGGCCAAAGAGCGTCCCAGAGATGGAGCTGGCTCTGAGGATCGTGGGTGGCGTGGTGGGAAGTGAAGGCTTGCTGCCAGCGAGCAGGCTTAAAAGCAAAGCTGGCCAGAGCCCAGGCCACGTTTCAAGATGCTCGGGGCAGTCCCCAGCCCCCAAAAGCCCACGTGCGTCCTCGAGGTGCTCACGAGGGATGCTCCTGCAGCCACCCCTCCTGCGAGCAGGCCTGGGAGGCAAAGCTGCTGCTCCGCTTGGTGACAGGGGAAAAAAAAAAGGAAAAAAAGAGGAAAAAAAAAAAAAAGGAAAAAACAAAATGCATTTGCAGCCCAGCCCAGCCCAAACACTGCGTGCAGGCGGATGAGCCGGGGCAGCAGGATGTGCCCCCAGCCCAGCCCCGGCAGACGCTTGCTCAGCTTTTAAAGGTGAGGTTGGTTTGCTAGGAGCAGAGCTGGAGCTGCAGCACAGCCCGGGAGGGCCCTGAGCTTTGAAGAAGCGTTGGAGCAGGGCAGCGAGGGCTGAACAAAGGAAGGATGTTGGGCTGCTGCTATAAACAGGGGGAAAATAAAGGAGAATGCTGTGCAGGAAGCGCCGAGCATCTCGCTCTGCTCAGCTTCCCGGCCACGCCACGAGCACCCAGCACCTCCCTCCTGGCCCTTCTCCCCCTGCCCCACAGCCGGCTTGGTGGGGGGCTGCCAACCCCCTGCAAACAGGGTTTTTAACCCAAATCTAACTCCAGTTCACCTCCCCCCTCTACGACAAAGCCAGCACTGATCCCTTCCTGCACAGGCAGCCACCGCTCCCATTTCGGGACCCTCGCTGCACCACGGAGAGCAGAGGAGCCCCCCCCGGCGGTGTCTCCCCCCCGTCCCCGAGCTGCCAGCAGCCGTCTCCTTTCCTTTTTGCTGCTGAGCCAAAGGAAGCCGGAGCCCTGCAGCCTGCAGCCTCCACCGCTGCTCCTGCAAGGGGGAAGTCCCCGAAGCCTGGCGCAGCGCTGCTCACACCTCCTGGTTTCCATTTACAGGAGCGACTGGAAACCATTTTCTGTTCCGTTCCTCTCGGCAGCGGCTGGAAGGCATCAGGCTCCCGCAGGAGGGGCGGGGGGCTCTGCCCTGCAACCCCCCCTCCCCCTGCTCGGCCCCAAAAAGGGGCCAAAAAAGTCCTGTCCCCACCGTCCCGCGGCGGGGCCGAGGCTCCCGCTGCAACCACAGCACGGAGGTGAAAGCCAGAGTGCACAAATTTATTTACAAAAAAATTCAAATTACAATATAATACAGGAAACTTTTTACACACGGAATATTAGAATGGTTTACTACCGGAAGGTAAAGAAAAATATTTTTTTTTATTTGTTTTTATTTTTTAATAAAACACCTATTTGTTTTCGGCTATTGTTATACAAAGTTGCAGAACATGCACATCTTTACAGGGTTTTCTTTCTTTTAATATAACGTTTTGCTAAGTGCAAATACTAAGTTTCTCTCTCCACCTTTAAGGCAAGTAAAACGGGACACTGCAATTAACCATAACGAGTACCTGGAGGGGAGCAACCTGGGCACAGCGACCCCCCCGCCGCCCCAAATAATCCACGGCAGGGCGGGAGGGAAACGGGGCGCGGAACTGGAGGGCCCCGAGCAGGGATTTCTGTGGGTTGTGCAATCATTTTTGTTTTGTTTTGTTTTTGTTTTTTTGAAAGTAAAAACCAAAAACAGACCCAAAATGCTATCGGAAAGCACAACTGCTGGAAGCCACTTGGGTTAGGAGGGAAGGAGCAGCCGCACGGTTCGGCTGCGGATGCATTTTCAGTGGTCTGGGGGTTTTCTCGGTGGGGGAGAAGCAGCCACAGGCACCGCCAGGCACCTCCCCAGCACCGATTTCTCCTCTCGGACACAAAGCAGCTCGTGGTTCTGCGGGGCTCCAGCCTTTCCCTTCCTCCCTGCCCCTCTGCCAGCAGCCTGAGCGTTGATCCAGGGCAGCACCACGGAGCTGCCACGGCCCCACGGAGGTGTCCCCAGTTCCTGGGGGTCATCTAAACCTCATCCAAGGCAGCCCTCAAGCCCACAAGATCTCAGCTACTAAAAAACCAAGGTTCCCTTTCTGCGACGGGCAGCTACCCGCGCTTCGTCTGAACTGGGTCGATTCTCTGAGCGCCCGATGGTGCTGGGAAGGGCAGCGTTTGATGGATTTAAACCTGGCTAAAATCCTGACAAGAGTGGGGAAGCCACCGCAACCCCGTGGCTACCTCCAGAAATACATTAAGAGAGAAAAATTAAAAAAAAAAAAAGATAGCAGCAAGTGAATACCACTTGGTTATTAACGCTAGACAGAACATGGCACCGAGGAACACGCAACGCTTCGCAGGACGCATTTCAAACCATAGGAAACACCTGAAAGCAGGGAAAATGCTGATTCAGCTCCAAAAGGCAGGGAAGTGCCCGCTGTGAAACCCTCCCAGAGCCACAGCCCCACAGCTGGTGGGGAAATCTTCTCCTGCCACCTGGAGCTGCTGTCCCAGGCCTCTCTCTGGGAGCTCCCGCTGCCAGCACAGCGCCGAGGAGATGCTGTGCCAGGGAAGGCTTGACAGGAGTCAAGAGGCAGAGGCAGGGGAGTTTTACCTGAACAAAAAACCACAGGCAAAAGACACCTGGATGCTAAAACACAGCGGGAGGAAACCAGCAGGGAACTGCGGTGAGCTGGCTCTCAGCAGGAAGGAGCAGGATGCAGCACGGATCAAAACTCAGGAACAACTGCGCAACCGGACTGGTAAAAAACAAACCAAAAACCAAAACAAGCCCAGAACTTCTGGGAAGAGGCTTTCTCCCTCCAAGCATTTTTTTTTTATAGGGGTCCCAGACAGTACAGCCAAGGTCTGGGGCAAGGGCTTTGCACCAAGGCTCCTCACACACCCCGCTGACAAGCTCAGGCAGCCATCACAACCCCTGCTCCTTACACAGCTCTGCTTCCCCTAAATCCTCCCCTCCTGAGCCCGGCGATGCTCGTGTTTGCCTTTTAACACGCCCTTCTGAAGCCAATTAAACTGCAATTCAAGTTTTCGGGAGTTAAATGTTTCGGAAGCAGCCAGCTCCCGACAGCACGAGGCTGCTGCCTGCGGGCTTGCAGGGATTTCAGCTAAGGGGGGGCTCCGAGCTCGCCGCCTGCCTGCAGACCTACACACGGGTACTCCCTCGTTTTGTGCAGCAGCACACAGCACACACCACTCCTGTGCACCAAAACACGTGTCTGCCCCAGCAGTCTTGGAGATGAGGGAGCTGGCTTTGGCTCTGAGTGCTTCCCCCAAGTGCAGAAGGGTGTTTGAGGTGCCTGGGTAACAGCAAAGCCAAGGCCACGCTTGGGGAAAACACCTGAGCCCTTGGAAGGGGGCAAGCTCAGCTCCCAAAGATGAGGGTAGGGAGTCTCCTGCTGTTTCGGAAAGCCCTGAGACAGGAACGTGGCTCTGGGGCTGCCTACCAAGATCTGAGCGATGAGGTGGCTGCCCCATCTCCTCACTCCTCTTGCAGAGCGAGAAATGCTGAACACACTACGTCTACTTGGGTTTGAACAATTTATTTCTGCTGGGAGGTGTTAGCAGATTACAGGGATGCTGGAGAACACGGGAAACCCTGCTTTGGGCTAGGGCAGCAGAGTTCTGTTATCTTGATCCTGAAGGTCTTACTCAGGTGCCAAGTCTCTCCTTCCTTCCCCCAAGACTCAGGCTTGTTGCAGCTGCTCTGGCCAGCAGGAAGGTTGGATTTTTGGAAAACTCCCGAGGAACGCTTGCATCCCTGTGCTCCACACGTCTCGCTTTCCCTCCCAACAGCTGTCTGAACGGCCCTCGCCAAACAAACAAACAAACGAACCAACAAAACCAACCTGGACTCTCAACACGGGAAGAAATCCTTGGAAATGCAGCACCGAGCCCCGCTGTAGCACAGGCTGAAATGTTTTAATTGCAAAAAGTCCGGAGAAGCCACGACCGGGGGGGTGTAGTGCAGGGACACGTGAGTCACAGCAGCTCCCCTTGCAGCTGGCTAACCCAGGGGGCTGAAGCAGGACTGGGGGGGATGTTACCGGGGTGGCTTTGCCCCGCAGTGACTCTGTGTCAGATGCTATTGGAACCAGGTCAGAACCGGTGTCGGGGCTGAGGGCCAAAGTGCATAGGCAAGTTGTGCTCCAGCTGAACATTGATCTGGGGAAAATCGTAGTTCACCCTCATGTTAGGCAGCGGAGGCACGTAGGGGGCGGGGATGGGGCCTATGTTGAGGGGGATGTTATTGTACATGGGACGGACGGGAGGGAGAGGGAAGGGGGGGTGCACGAAGGGGTACGGAGGCATCCGGGGTTGGTGGAGGTTCTGAGGAACGGGCCTGGGGATGACCTCGATTCTCTGGATTTTCTCCACGGGCTTTTCCACGGGAGGGCCGATCCGCTTGAAGCTGTTCTCTGCAGAGGGAGGAAGGAAAAGAAGCAGTCATCCTACAAACAAAACCCACTGAGCCTGGTCAGCTGCTTTGCTGAGCAGAGAGGAGACATCACTGCACGCACAAGCCTCCTGGCTCCCCATGGTCCCAGCTACAGCCTGCAAGCAACAGCCCTTTAAAGCTCGAGGGGCTGCCAGCAGGAGCAGGGGGATGGCTGGCACACCTCTAGAGCAAGGTTTTGGTGCTGTTTGGTGCTGAGCAGCAATGCCCAGTGCAGCTTGCAGGCAGCCAGGCTGTGGGAAGAAGCCAAGGAAACCAGAGCTGGGAACCCCAGGCTCTCCGATTGTCCTCAGTCTGATAGCAAAGCACAGATAAAGCTTGTGACTTACCCCCGTTCTTCTTCCTTTGTTCCTCTTCAGCCTCTTTCTGAATCTCCTGAATTATCTTCTCGTCATCTTCCTAGAAACCACAGGAGTATAAAGAGTCAGTGGGCCAATTCCTGCTGCAGCAGCTTCCTCCTCTCCCACTGCTGCTTTTCTTTTCGCCAGGTGTTTGTATAGAAAGAGGCAAATTCAGCTGAATCGTCCTTGTTTGGGGATGATCCAGTCAAAAGCAAGGCTGCGATAGGGGACTGCACACAAATCACTTGCACAGAGCCAAGCCTACTCTACGGAGTATGACTACGAGGTTTAGATCAGCTTTCCAGGGAGTTCAGTGCTAAAATTCATCGACTTGATAGAAACCAGAGAACTGCAACCCAGCTCCGCCCAGCCCAAGAGTTGCTGGAGAGCTGTTAATCTTTTAAATGGCAATAGGCTATTAAATATTTACACTATGCTAGCACTTCTTGAGTTTTTGGCCCAACAGCTGGAATTAACACAGCTTAAATCCTGGCTCCACCAGCTAAATGGTGCTCTAACGAGGCCATTTAGATCTTATCTGTAACTTTGAGGAGGACATAAATCACCATACGTTTAACGTCTAGCTAGACTTTATAACAAGAATATTCAGACAAGAATATTCAGACCCACTGCTCAATGAAAACACAAGAGCAGCTAGAAGCTGCAAGCATCCTTCTGCCCCTTGTTCTTCTCCACCCAAAATAGCAGCAGCCAGACCAAGCAGTGTAGTAAAGCCTCAGGTGGCTGCAGGGAGCTGACATTTACACCTCCTTTTTATTAAATCGAGGGAGCATGATGGATAAAGTCTTGGAAGAAGGTGCAACTCCTGAAGCAGAAGACAGGCGTGCCTGGAGGGACAGCCATGGGCACCAGCAGCCCTAGGGACCAGGCAGCTCCCAGGCTTTGCCCAGAGCCACCCCAGTGTTAGCCTGAAGCCAATCACTCTGATTTGTGTTTCAGCATCAATCGTCCACGTGCAAGAAAGGTGAAAAATGATTTTCTTCATTACACCGCAGCATGCTGCGGCCATCAGGGTAATCAAGATCCTACCAAGGGTCTAACGAGACAGCTCCCTCGTAGTGCCAGGCAGCAGATGCACTGGTGGCAGCGAGAGGTCCTCCTGGCCTCTGCAGGCTGCATTCGCTGCTGCTGTGTGTCCTTTGGGATGAAACACGGCCTGGCACAGCCAGAAAACAAATGAGAGAAGCTAAACATCTCCGACAGTGTTTGTGCTCTCGTGTTAGTGATTGGGGAAGAAGGCCAAGAACAGGAGCTGCTGGATGACACAGAACACCTGCACCAGCCCCCAGCCCCTCCGGGCCTACCTGCATCCGAAGGAGCATTTGGTTTGCTTCAGCAGTTCATCTGCAAGTGCTAACAGTGGAGCAGGAGGGAAATTCCACACTCTGCACACCCCACAACGCGCAAGGCTGCTTCGCTTTGTTCATCCTACTTCCAGCACTGGCCAAAACCCATAAATTTCTTCCTGAACGCTCTTAACGTGGAAAATATCCTCTATTTTGAATAGTGCTCTGGGACTACATTCAAAATATGCTCTGTGTGTATCTACACTGAAATGATATTAGGTCTAGCCGGCCTCCCCATCTCACTGTCCTGCACATGTCTAGCAGCAGTGCCTGGGAAGCTGGGATGTGCCCTCCTCCTGCTACCAGATAAGGTTTCCCTGGGAGACCAAAGTTATCTTAATCTGCAGAAAGCCATCAAAGTCAGTACTTCCCTCCCTTTGATTATTCTTTGAGTCAATGGTTAAAATTAAGATTCTCCAGGCAAGTTTTTTTTTTTTTTTTCCTCCAAGCAGGCTGCTTCCACAGGCTGTTAATTACAGCCTATCTATCTCCATAAAAAGTGCTGAAGAATGGCTCTTCTGAGCCTATGCAGAACTTCTGATTACCTCCGAGTATCAGATTGCAGCACTCCCTGGCTACAAAGCAACACGAGACCTGGGCGTGCTCCACAACAGGCAACCAGACATCCCGCGCTGCTCTCCGGGGGTGGCCCCAAAGCTTCAAGACCTCACTTTGATTTGTTCCCAAAATATTGTTTTTCTGTGCCATTGAAAGTGAGACAGGCACCTCTCCCATCTTATTGCCACTTGCTTTTTTTTCTTAAAAAAAAAAGTTATGTGACAAGTAAGATGCTGATATTTTAAGCACAACTGAACATGGTTATCTCCCATATCCCTCCCTCGCACAAATGGTAAAAATCTCCCCTTCAAGCCTAGAAATATGCAAGAGTCCCTTTCTAACCAAAGCTTTTGCTGCAGTCTAAGTCCAGAACTAACCCTCCAAACTGGTCCTTTCCAGGCACTACCATCCTGCTGCCATGGAGAGCGCAGCTCAGATGCTAACAGCGTCCATCCCATCCCAGAGCCGGGCTGCACTGTCCCCTTCTATTGATGAAGTCAGCCCTGCAGAAGTCTGCGGAATTGGACACATCAAGAGCACAACTTCACAAGACCCTCCAGCAGCTAGGGCTGCTTGACCCCCGGTTTAAACTGCAGCTGACCTCTGCACTAATGACAGATCGACAAAGCCATCTGCCCCGGGCAGGCGAGCCAGCTGCAGGCACCCCCGGGTGCTGCTGGCTCCAATTACTGCAGCTCCCAGAGCACGGGGCAAATGCCTAACTGCAAACCCCATCTGCCAGACCTCCAAAAATGAGGTCTGTCTCCTAAGGGTAACACGAAATACATCGCCTCAAATGCAACTGCTGGAGAGCCCTGCTCAGCCCCGTCCCCTCTTCATCTTCAAGAGGGGGCAAACCCTGCAGCACGCCTTTGGGGCAAAAAAATCTGCTGACTGCAGACCCATGGGGGGACAAATACAGACCTGGGTGAGAATAACTAGTTCTGGACTAGTTCTGTGGCTGTCCAGCACAGCAGAGGCATGACAAGCCACATCTGAGAAAAGAAGTTAGCAGCTTTGCTGCTTCTCTGCTGCTAACCTTCCAACGCTAGGATACACTTTAGAGAAGCATTTATACTGAAGCCCACATACCAAGCGTTGGCTTAGAGCCTTTTTGCATCAGTATTTCTGAAAAACTGGTATCCATTAATATAAAGAGAACAAAAATACACTGCACAATATGCACCTTCCTACTTCAAATCAGAACCTGACGTTACATTTGGCTCAGCACAGTTCAATACATGCAGCGTTTAGGAAAGATCCGCATTCCAGCTGGAACACAAGAGAAAACAGGGATATGTGCACATTAAGATAGTTTTAGGCTATTTTGAAGAAAAGCTGAGGCCGCAAGTTCTGGCTACTACATCCTGCACAGTCATAGAAGTAAAAAGTCTCAGGGCTGCAAATATACAACAAACACAACAGTGGTATTTTTGCAATACACCTCTAATTTTTGAGAAGCAAAGGCTGTTTTCTGATTGCACCGTAATTGGAGAGGGATGACAGATTCATTTAGGGGCAAAGCATCTGCACCGAAAATTAAGTTTTCATTACAGCACTTACGGCTGGTTGCTGTGGTAAGAAACCATCTAATGTCATCTGATGGGGTGGAGTCTCCAACACAATTTTAAAAGCCTCTTGTGTCCCTTTTCCTGAGTGGGATCAAGACCCCGAATAAAGGATTAGATTATAATTTTAATAGCCTGTTCGCAGGCCGCGTGGATCGGAGGGGTTTATCCTGTCAAGTTAACAGTCATCTTCCTGTCAGCTGCCTCGCCTGCAGCAAAAATAAAGACAGAAAAAGAAAAAAGCGACCCCCCACGCCCCAGGGGGCTCTCAGCATGACCGGCCTGTGTGTTTCTGAGCAAGGAGGAGGTAAACGGGCTGTTTTGTGAGAGAGAAAATGCAGGGCAACGCGACAGCGCGGCCCTTCCCCGTGCTCCGCTGCATCACGGGAGAAGGGAGGTGGCCAAGGCAGAGCGCAAAGGATCTAGGAGATGCGATCCCCCTCCTTATCAGCAAACGCTGCAGAGAGAGAATGAGGTTATTAATAGCATCGACACGTTAATTGAGAAGACAGGACGGAGCTTTGCCCCCAAACAGGGAGCGAGATGCTGCCTGACACCAGGCCGCTGACCGGCCCGAGGCCTGTGACAGGCCCCGAGGGCTCCTGTTTTCCACCTCCTCCTGCTGAACCTAAATACAGGGGGCAAGGAGACGATCAGAAAGGATGGCTGGGCTCTGCTGGGTTGTGGATGGGTTAAATCAGGAGCTGGGCTGCTAAACCAAGGGCCTCTCACTGCCACAATGAGGCCGAGGGGAGAAGGGGACGCAGCAGCCATAGCTCTGTGAGGGACGAGCCCCCAAGTGAAACCTCCTCTGCCTGGAACAAAAGTGCCCCAGCAAAGCTTTTGAAAGCTCTGCTGTTATCTATTGTGCTCCTCGTTATCTTCTTTAATTATTAAGTGTCACGGGGAAAGGGCTGCCTGCCTCCTGAAAGGGAGAAAACAGGAGACCTGCCGACTGCCTCGCCCTGCAGAGGGGCTGGAGGCGCGTCGGCCGCCATCGCCTCCCCCTTCCTGGCTTTTCACTGCTTTCTTTTTTTCCACGTATGTGTGGCCGCAGCCGTTCCCAATAAACTCGAAACCATTTTCACGACGGAGGCTTCCAAAAGGACTAAGGGGTTTTGTTTCAAATCATTCCCAGATCAGCCGCGGAGAGCCTGAGCAAGAACAGGCGCGGGCTGTCTGCTGCGCCTCGCTCCGTGCAGCAGGGAGGGGGATGAAAGCCGCCTGTGTTGGGACTCCAGCGGGGCTCAGGCAGTGCTGCAGGAAAAAGGGGGGCCAGCACGGGGACCAAGCGCACACTGGTGCCTAAGAAATGCAGGATTCTTTCAGCAGCAGACATGCCGTATCCACAGAAAGCCTGTCGCTACCGCGAATTAAGCGTGTGCTTGCGATTAGGGCATTTCGGAGCTAAATTTGGGGGAGTTTTCCCCCAACACTCCAAGCTTCTGTGCCCCCCAAACGCTAGGGTCAGTGCTGTGTAGGCATTTCATGCAATTCCCTAACGGATTTTAATTTTTACACAGTCCTCACTCAACATCTTCTGGTTATAATACTAGAGAAAGGGTTAATTGCGAACACCTTAAAATGATTAGTCCTCTGCTTTGAACTTTAATGAGGGGTGCTTGGGAGCATTTTAGGAGTTACTGAAAACATCTTAAAGTAAAAAAAAAAACAACAAACCTGCTATGCAGTATTACTGAGAGTCTGAAGGTAAGTATTGCATTAAAAATAACACATAGGAGAGCAGAACCTGGTTTATCGAAGCAGTCAAAACGCGTTAGTCACACTGCACCGTGGGGTTAGCACAAACCACCTACAATGCACACAGCACCGTGCACACAGCCTCAGGTTTGCTACAGATACTCAGAAACCAGGGAGTGCTCAGCCCCTGAGCTTGCTCTTTGCAGAATCAGTCCTCACCGCTCCATCTTTTGCTTTGTCCCTTATTGCATCAGCCTCTCGTGCAAGCAGCAATGCCTCGGCAAGCAAGCCAAGCCCAGGCTAGCATGGGCTGCAGAACACGTGCACCAGGACTTTTGGCCGAGCAGCTTGCTGGCAAGAGTGCCTGGCACGTGCTTGTGTCCTGCAGAGGTGCAGGGCACGATAAGCTGTAGCAGAAACGCAGCGATTAAGCGATTACTGCCTGCTACCTTGGAAGCCGCTGACCACAGCCTGCTTGCAGCTTGTCTCTGAGCCAGCAAATGCTGCACTTAGACCTCTAATTTAGACTCAAGGCTGATTACAACATAGGAACTAACCTTTTATTATGGGGAATTTTGAAGTGTCTGCTTTATTCTCCCAAGATCATTTGAGACAAAGACTAACAGATGCTGCAGTTCCTAGAAGAATGTCTCTAATACATCCTAATTAAATGTCTTTAATAGGTTTTTTAAGCCAAGCTAATGAAAAGGTTGATTTATCCCTTCTCAAGGATCATTTTAGACTGAGAAAACGTTAAACATTTGGAAAGGAACAAAGCCTCCCTATTTTAACAAAACCCAAATTTTGCCTTAAATAATGGGGAGTTAGATGCAAACCAGATTCTTCACAGAAGTGTGAAATTACCCAGGTCTGACTGAAAGCTAAAACCTGCACCCGTGAAACACAAACTGACAAGACAACAGCACTGCGACCATGCCACTGCTCTGCCAGGGAGACTGGTCTAGGCGGGGTGTACATGAACACATCAGAAATCAGAACGATGTCCTGTCACCCTCTAACAGCCACGCTTTGGTGGCACATGTGTGCCCTCCCCGTTTTGCAGCAGAGCTTAATGCAGGGAGACAAGTGGAAGCTCCTGAGCAATGGCTGCAAATTCCACAGCTGCCCCAGCCTTGTCTTCTCTGCACGTGTGCACAGCAAGGCTGCAAACACATGCAGACCCACAGGAGATACTCTCTTCCCACGCTGATAGCACTAGCCATCTACTGACTTCAACAGAATAAAAAAGATTGAGCAAAACCAGAAAAAAAATGTGAGAAACACATTAGAAAATGGCCACACACGAGCCAACAGAGCTGGGGTGGGGTTAAACCCTCGGACAGGGCATCATCCCTGACAAAGGACGGACACTACAGTGGCATTTTGCTCTTCCATATCCCCATGGCAAGGTTCAAACTTGCTCCCACTCCTCATACCTACCACATTAACTCCTCTCATGTGTCCCATAGGAGAACACAGATCTCCCAGGTGGGACTACACGTTCATGGCACTGAGCCCCTTGCAAGGACGGCACTGCAAACAGGTACTGATGATTTTATGCTTAGAAGCTAACAGCTGAGTTTCCTGTTATTCTTTGCACTACAGCGAGGACAGTCACCCCACGTCAACTCCCCAGACCACCACTGCTCCGTCATCCAGAAAAAAAGGAGGAGGCAGTGCCAGCTCTCTGCTGACGGTGGGAAATTTTCCTTTGCCACAACATTGGTTAATTAGAGAGCTGGAAAGGGGCCGGTGACAGTGCCCTCTTTGTGCTGCTTGCTTATTTATTTATTTTAAAGTACAGTATGAGCTTTTTGAGAGGCCTCATGTTTTCTCTGGCTCAGAACAAATGCCATTACTGAGCACAATCAGCAGCCTGACGGGAACAAAGGACTCCAGCGCTGCCGAATCGAGGAAACCAGGGAAAGGGGGACGGGACTGCAGAGCCAGGTGTCCAAAATGTGGGGCTATGGGGTGCTTGGAAGCAGGTATCTGCTTAGTTTAGCACCTCTCAGTGACAGGGTAAGGCAGAGAACAAAGACAGGCAAGCAGAGGACTAGGAATCTTACACTTCTAGGAAGAAGGGAACCGTTTCAAGTGGCTTTGCTCCACACCAGCGCAGGATTGTGTGCTTCTCCTGCAAGACATGCTAGGAGCAGCCTGGCAAGCCGCAGCATCCTGAGACAAAGAAGTGTTGGAACAACTGAGGCTCAGACAGGCCCTGCGAAGGCAGATCCACGTCCACAATGCTCTGCTGCTTTGCTGAAATCAGGAAATTCAGCTCCTGCTCCAGCCTACACTCCCTTCCAGACTTCTGCTACAGACAACCTTTACAGAAATGCTGCGTGAAAGCATCATCCCATGCTTGCCACAGCTACAAGATGCATTACGGCGTGAAGTTTTAAGTTACTACAGCTCCCCTTAAGGCCCAGTCCCTATTGCAGTTCTTCCCCTGCAGCTGTTGACAACAGCCGTGAGAACGGACACAACTGCAGCTCAGGACCTTTGGCTCGCAGGCACTTTTCTCAGCAGCTCTGTCTCTGCGAAGGGACTTGCAGAGTCAACTGAGCGGATAGGGAAAGCTATTGGGCACCAGCAAGACAGCAGATGCAGAGCTGTACCAAAAAGCAACTCAGCTGCAAAAGGCAGGAGCCAGTTCCAGTAATCCCAACGCCTGCTGCTGGGCCCTGCTGCCAGCACACGCTGCCCACCAGCTCTTTTCACAAGTCCGCTCCCCAGAACGGCGCTCAGAGCACTTCCAACCAAAGCCCTTGTCTGTTTTTTTTCCTAAAGCAACACCAGTTGCTTCCAAGTCGCGGTCAGATTAAGTCTGTGCTGATGGAGAGGCTTTCAGTGTGTTTTTTAGCTGCTTTGGGAGAAGAAATGTTTTGCTGTCTCTGACCGGCTGTTCTCCTCTGGTGGAACGCGTGCATTTCAACCCGCTGGCATGGGACGGTAATTGAAATCAGGGTGCGAATCGTGGACAAAAGCCCTCCGTTACTTACTGTGGGATCTGTCCAGAGAGAACACTTGGCACAGTCCTGGCAGGGAGCCCCGGGCGAGCGGGGGTGCTGGCAGAAGTGGTCGTACCCGTTAATGGCAGCCCGGCAGAGGTAGCACATCTGAGCGCCGCAGCGGCAGGACATGCGGTTGCAACCCTCCGATTTAATTAGGCCAGTCCCGCACTTGTGGCATTTTCTAATGCGGGCAGCTGTCATCTTCTCTTCTCTGCAACACAAGAGGAGGGAGAAGAATTAGAGACGGGCTGTTTGCATTCACCAGCCTGCGGTGAAGTTGCTGCTGCACCATCCCAGCACAGCTTTAACCCCCTCTCCCCCTTCTCTCCCCTCCTCCGCTATCCCCACAGTCCATCGCCGTTCCAAGGAGGTCTGGGCTCAGCTCCACTTGGAGCCAGCCCATGACAACTCAAGAACAAATTAAGTGAAGGAAAGTCAATCACTTACTGCATGCTACAGCCCCGATTCTGGTTTCCATGCGAGCCAAAACACAGCGGTGCCAGGCTCTGGCTCGGGAGGAATTTAAACCGTAAGTCAAGGGACCAAAGGGCATGAGGATTCCTGACTCTGCCACAAAGAAATATGGTCCAGGAGATAAAGTTCAGGAAAAGCAAACTGTTTGCTGTCATCTGCTCGATAGTTTTATGTTTGGCTGTTGCTCTGGTTACAAAGTCGCCATGGCCATGTCGATTTTTTTTCAATGCTGGCTGCTACGCTCCAGATTTATTTGGTTTTCGTTAAATTTAAATCAGTAACTGAAAGATAATCACGTCTTTCCCCACAGAGACTGGGCTTTCCCAGTAAAATTCCCCACATAAGTCTTCCAGAGGTTATTGCTTTAGGTGCAAAAGACAGGCTTCTAACAAGGCATGGATGGGAATCCAGGACAACGCGCGGTCCCGTCCCAAAGAGGCAGCCTGGCAGCAACACGCCCCAGTGCAAAGGCTCAGCCCACGGCGATGCTATTTTGGCACTGAAAGGGAGCAAAGCCTCGGTCATTTTAATTAAAAGACTTAAGAGTACAAGCTGTCATCCTGAGGGCCCATTTTCTGACCACAGGAGATCACGTTACAATTTAATTCGCCATCTAGAACTGAAATCTGATGACAGCAGAGCGAAGGGACTGCACCAACCGAGGAGGCACGGTCCTTTGGCTGCGCTGACCCAAGTAGGGAGAGATCTTCCCCAGCCAGCACCTCCACCCAGCTGCTCCAGCGGCCCTGCGAAGCCAACATGTGTTTGGGAGATGACAGAGAGGTATTTTTGAGGAGGATCACAGCAACAAAGCAGGCACAGCCCCACAGATCGCTCCATCTGCACAACTGGAGAAGCAGCGAGTGGCGAGGTGGAAAAAGGAGCAGCTGGAGGTGGGAATTTCAGCTACCCCCAGCTCCCGTGTGGTTATATCCAGCACGACCTGTGCCCAGGTATTGGGAGGTGCGCTAAGAATAGACAGGAAGGAAAAAAAAAATAATCAATTTGAGACTGATTTCTGTGAGCTGCAGCTGCTCTTCCCTCCTCTGCTCAACAGGATGCTGCTGATGCAGGGTTTTTTTTGGAAACTTTGAGCCCAGCAGGAAGTTTGGCCTGAACTCCAGCTGTGCTTCCCTTTCCTTACGCAGGGCTTCAAAAGGAAGCTTTTATTGTACCGTGCAGTAAGACTCATCTATCTACAGCAGCAATCTGCTAAAGGTTTTGAAACTGATTTTTTTTTTCCTTGTTGGGGACATGACAACTTGTATCTCCTCCCTCTCGCCCCTCTTTCCTACAGGGAAAGGAGTGACAAGAGAAAGAAACCATATCAAATCTGGGACAGTATTTTGTTCTAAGTTACAGACTGTGAGATGAGCAAGCAGCAATCATTCAGGCTCCCAGCAGAGGAGCTCTCCAACCCCTGCTCGTACCGGACACGCTGAATCAGAGAGGAAAGGATTGGGCAACGCAGGCAATTCCCCTTTGACCGTGCCAGACATACAGCTTCATGGCTCAGCCCTTGCTCATCTCCTAAAGCCAGCAGATTTTGTTATCTATGGTAGCAACGAGAGAGCTCAAGCTTCAGAAGGTTTTGGGGAAACACTTGAGATTTACACACAAGCATTTCAAAACGTGACTTGATTCTGTAAAGATTCCTACAGACGGAGTGGTTAAAAACAGAGAAACTTCTGAGAGCAAACACATCCCTCCATAAAGCCACAAAGCAGCAGCTGAGCAAGCCACACTTCAGCATGTTGTCACCAGTCTCGATTTTCAGAAGGTAAGCTCCTTTGACTCAGGATGCTGCTTTGGCTCAGCACAGCACCTCCCTTCTCCCCCCAAGTGAATGGGAGCAACGCAGTGGGGGTTTCTCACCTCGGAGAAGGACCAGGTGCCAGCCTGTGAGACATGGGGCTAGCCAGGGGAACAGGCTGGTCTGGTGACAACTCTCCCACCTTCTCAGATTACCGCCTGCATCCCTTGCCAAGTATCTTTCACAGAAAGAAATCCCATCCTCGGAGCCTCCTGACCCCTCAGCTTTGATGCCTCCAGTACCTCCCTGATGGAGGTAACGACACCCAGCAAGACTTCAGGGCTTCCAGTGTTTACAAGAACAGCTCAGTTTCTTAGCCCCTCTACACCAGTTTATTATCTTGCACCCTATTTTTGCTCGTTTGTGGCCTTTACTTACATGGACGTCCTGTATTTGATGTCATCCTTCTCAGCCAGCTGCTCGCAGGTGAGGTTCATGTGCTCCTTCCACAGCCCCTGGCACTTCCGACATGTTTCCTGAAGAAGACAGCAAGCGTTAAAGGAAGAGAAGACCCAGCACACCACTGAGAGCACTGGGGATTGGAAAAATTCCCATCTCTTCCCCCACCACATTGCAGATTCTCAGCTGAGGATGGGACTGGCAATTCTGCATCGAGGCACAAGGCCCCAGAGAGGTCCATGGGTCTGTCCCCCACTGGAGACCAGAATGAAACCACCCATAACAGGAGCCAAGGGGTTTCCAAGGCACAAGAACCCAGGCACAAAATGTAACTGGAGCTATCTGTGACTGTGTAAAACGAGTCTGTAAATCCTAGTTCACCTCCAACTCACAGAATGGCCACCAGGTCAACCAGGAGCAGACTGCAGAAACAAAAATAGGATGCTAAAGGTCACCAAGCTCCTATGCTTCCTGAGCGAGATCTTTCCCCTGCATACAAGGGGCTTTTGGTTCAGCTCGTGATGGAAAGCTTGCCGCTGTTTTGCGGTTGCAACAAAAACTCTGCCTCACCTCAAGCCAGTCTATATTTTGCTTTGTAAAACTTCACGAAATGGTTAGAGCAGCTTGTACAAGTAAATGTTTTACAAGGCAGGATGTGGACAAGTGTCCACAGAACAGCAGTGGCATATGAAAAAGTATTTACGAATTCAACCAAAATAGCTGAACTAAATTTAGAGCAAGCGACTGAGCTCTCCTGTTCTTGTAAGCTCTTCGGCACCAAGACTCAGCTCAGGCTGGTGAAGCCTCACGGAGCAGAGAGCTGTGGAGGCACTCTTGGCAAGGGAGCTTGGACTAATACTGGCAACACAGTTGATTTTTTCAGCTGGCTGTCCAAAGAAAACATAATTTTGTTTTGGGTCAAACAAGAGATTTTCCTTTAATTTGAGGACGATTAAAAAAGCATCCAAATCAAACTTGGAAGAGGCGCGCGTTTCACGATCCAACTGTTTCATCTTCAGGGCTGGGACTCGGGTTTTTACATCCAGCTTTCTCCCCCTGGCAGGAAAACCAGAGGGCTGTGAAGCATCCTCTTCCCCTCCACACCAAGGGAGGTCCCTGGAGACAGCCCTGCCCTGCTCTAGTCGCACAGCTAGCGAGATGACAACTGCAGGGACACCTTTTTGAGTGCATTACCTTCATTTTATTTTAATAAGGAGCTTCATAGGATAGATAAGAATTAGCCAAGACTCTGAAACTCTTCGTTAGTCTAACCAAAAGCTCTTCTCAGCTCTCGGTGCCTTCTCTGCCTAAAGACAGGCGCAGGCAGCAGCGCGCTTTTGATCGTGCATCAGCCAAACAGGATGAAGCCCAAAGCTTCCAAGGAAGCCACCCCTAGGAGGGGGAGTGCAAAACGTTGACTTGTTTGTATTTGTGCTCGCTGGGAGCAGCTTAAGAGCTTTGGCTTTCATCTGTGGAATGAAAGGCTCCTCGCCCCGCCTGGGGAGCTGGATGTGTTTGCACACCGCAGGCACAGGGCTGGAGGAAGAGAGCCGAGCGTGTGTCCAAGTCCCAGAGCTCAGCACAGCATTTTGTCATCACTCACCATCCCGACACACTTCGGGCAAGCAGGCCCAAGCTTTAAGAGGCTATAGGTGCCTTGTTTCTGGTGATCCCTGGGAATTACTCATCCTATGCTGCGTTTTCCCGTTCGAGCTGTTCAATCTGGCACCATTTTGGGTGCCTCCTCGGCGAGGAAGCTCCCTCCCCTTTGATTCGACACCCAGCCAAACACCACTCGAAGATCAGAAGTGCTGCACGCTTTTTTTGCACACATCAAGGGTTAAAACCAGTCGCTGGGGCCCTGCTACCCACAGCCACTTTCACACGCCAGCAACAAAGATTTCACAGCTTTCTGCCAGAAGGGTTGGCACACGCTGCGGCCAGGAGCCTACAATCCCCAATTACTGAGCTCCAGGAGCCTCTTTTGCTGCCGAAGTAGAAGCGATGCCCTTCTGGAGCAGACGGAGCCGCTTCTCCTTCACACCAAGTCCTTCCCTTCGCCTTTGGTCACCGCCACCACCCCGGCTTTGAACGCCGCGGGTATTTAAAAACAGCGCAATCCCTGGAGCCGAGGCTGCTGCCGTTTGCCAAACAGTTGTCTCCTCCACCCAGGGGAACGTATTCCTTTACAGCCGAGGAGAAAGGGAAAGGACAGAGCCTCGCGGGCTCCCAGATGTGCTGGCACTTGGTGAACCTGGAGGTGTCCGTTTTGCCATCTCACGGCAAGCTCCACACAGCGAGAGCCATCACGGGTGGGCTCACGGCACCGATCCTGGCTCTGCCTGGGGCTCAGCACCACCATCCCCAGGGTTTGAGCTACCACCATCACCTGCTGCATGTCTCCATCCTCGACATTCCCCTTCCAGTAGAGAGAAGGGAACATTTTGGCAACGCACGGGCTGTTGAGAGCTCGATGCAACTCCTGGTGTAAGCAAGACAACGGCCCATTGTTAGTTAGCAGCTACAGGAACTGGTGTCGGACCCCTCGGCACAAAAAGGAGAGGAAAGTGTCTGAGTGCACAGCTCGGACAAAGGCAGCTGCTCCAGTGCCATAGCTCAGGTCACAGCCGTTCCCTGAGAACACAAAAATGCCCTCTGGAATTTTTACACCTACTTGAACCAAACCCGCTCTGTCGGGGAGGGCTCTGCCCGTCTCGCCCAGCGACGATTTCCATCTCGACAGCGTTTCCACAGAGGGCTCTTTCATTTCAGCAGCAGCTTTTTGCTCGGTGAAGAAATGTACTCTGCCATTTCCATATTAATTAACCTAAACACGCAGTAGGACGGCTGATTTCTGCAAGCACCCCGGATTATTTCTATTGTGCAATCCTGGCACCACGACAAGGCTGCCGCGAGATGAGGCAGCATCTCAGTGCACACAAAGGGGGGACGCATCCTTCCCACCCCCAGAGCTGACAGCCGGGGAGCGCATCGCTCCTCCAAAACCAAATCCTGTCCCCAAATCCCATCCGGCTTCTCCTGCAGCTGTCTGTGAGCCAACCCTGTCATACAGAGGTACCCGAAAAAGCAGGTTTTATTTTTGTTGTAATGAAAACAAAAGCTTTTTGGTTAAATTAATCCCTTCCAGGGGGGTGAATTCACTGCGTTTCCCCAGCCCAGCCCTCCTCGCAGGCAGGGCCAGCCTGACAGGCAGGTACAGCTAACACAGCTCACACTTCCAGGACTGTTTGGAGAAGCTTTGGCACTCGTGAGCAGCTCCAAACCAGGCACGGATGCCGGAGATTAAATATCTCCTGCCTGTTACATCTGCCCCGGCTTGGCAGGCGGCCTGGGACAGTCCATTAACGTGCCGGGCTGGGACAGCGGAGAGGAGGATGTGATGGAGAGGGTGTTTAATCACCCTGTAATCTCCTCACTGTACATCTGTTAGAGGTAGTGGCTCCGTTTCCTCTCGCCGGCCGCCAGGAAGCAGCCGGGATTAGCACAAACATGTTTGGGTTCAGGAGGATCCTTTGTTCCCAGGGGCTCTCTGTGCTCGGGGCTGCCTTGCAGCGCAGCCACCCCGATCCTAAACGGCCCTTGTTCATTGTCCCTGCCTCCAAGGAAGGTACAAGGAAGCGTTTTATGGGAACCAGCCTTCCCCAGCACTTCCACTGATCCTTGCCACAGATGCTGAAGTATTAAAACACAGCCTCAACTTTTTTCTTTTTTCATTCCACCCTCTCCTAAAAATAACTCCGAGGTCCAGCCCGTGCATCGGGGGGAAGAAAGCCCTGAGAAATTAACTTCCCCCCGCCAGCCCTCGTGTCCTTTCGGCCACAGGCAGGCTGTTGTTTGCACCACCGTGAGCCACCACGAAAACATCAGCCGATGCAAAGGGCTCCGTGAGCGGCTGCCCACGGCATTCCTGCGTGCCTGCTGCTGCTGGGGGAGGTTACACGAAGCCACGTCCTGACTGAGCAAAATGCAAAGAGGGGAGGGGAAAAAAAAAAAAGGAAAAAAAAAAAAGCTCCTCTCAAACACCAGGCAGTCCAGCAGGCTGTCATCACCGCCCTCCAGCTCTCAGCGGTGGTGGAGCAGGGTCTGGTGCTCTCCTCGGCTCCCCGTCTGCTGGGGAATTAAATCCTTTTGCTGCAGCACCACACGGGTCCCCGTGTCCCTGATGGCACATGTGGGGACGTCGGTGGCTGCACTCCCTGCTCCTTCCCTGCTCCTTCCTGCTCGCAGACGCACAATAGCGCAGGCTGGCCTCAAACCGGCCAAGTTTTACCCCAAACCAGATGTGAACGCATCAGTCTCGGAACAGCACCTCGGGGCCAATCTGTGCTGAGCTGGTTTCGTTACAGGGCTGCAATTCCCAAGCAGAGGAGGTAAAGGGAGAACAAGAGCAGCCTTCCTCCCCGCTCCCTTAATGCCGCACCGACCTCGGGTACAAGCGGGTGCAGGAGGAGCTCCAGGAACCCAGTGTAAGCACGGGTACGCTCTCATGGCAAACTCCTTCAGAGCTGTTTCTGGGATTTCCTATATGTTAAACCAGGATAAAGAGGACACGATCCAGCCCCAAACAATCCACATTGGTGCAAAAACCTGCTTTAGATCCGTAGGAACACCCAGCACAGGAAAAGGGGGCTTGGAGAGCACCCGACTGATCCAAGAGCTGGCACCGCTGTGGACAGCAGCCTAGATCGGCCCCAGGCATCAACCCCAAAAGCATAAAACCCATTCAGCGTGGCAAAACGGACACAATGCCTCGGGTGGACAAGGAGTGACGAAGTGGTAGCAGGGGAGGAAATCAGTGCTGGGTGGTTTCCTCCTCCTGCTGGAGCTGCTGTTCCTCAGGCAGCGCTGCCGCTCAGCGGCCGCCGGCCACAGCGCAGCTCTCAGGGTTTGGGGATGGAAAAGGAGGAGAGAAAGGAGGAGACGAGCTGCTGGGAGAAAAAGTGACGTCTCCTCAGTACAGCCATGATTTGTTCTGGGAGGGGAAAGGAAGCCTGGAGTAGTCTGTGTGAATGGGGCAGCGTGAAAACCTAACTGGAGACCTGCAGGGGCTGGGGAT